TAGCTAATGATCCTTTCTACTTGAACACAGGCTTTTATTTGAAAACATTATTTAATTTAATTTCTTTACCTTCAAAATGCAATTTTTAGACACATTAATTATGTCATGTACTCTGAAGTATTGACCAATTTCTTCATATTGCCCTATTCTTTGTGAACCATGAAAATTAATATTACAGTGATATTAGCAATTAAAACAGGACAGTGGATTTTTTTCCTTTCTTCCCCAGCTTCTGGAGCTGACTATTTTTCCTCCTTTGAACACAGCTTTGTTTTATTCTGTATTTATTCAAAGGATAAAAATTTAGTTTTAGGACATTATTATGCTGTAAATCTAAATTCCTTATACTTAGGGCCAAACTGATCTGAAGCCTGTGTTAAAACTTTAAATAAAAGTGTGTAATTAAAGTAATATTGAAAATATGAAAAAGATATATTTGTATACTTCCTCACATGTGATTAAATGCTACCTACTATTTAATCACGATTAATAAACATCTGATGCAGGAACAAAATGTAATTTTTTTCCTCAACTCATAACTGAGAGAATTAAATCCTAGAAGCAGGATTTATTGATGATTCATGGAAATCAATTTCTTTAAAAGGCATTTTAAGGACATAAACAAGCAATGTTGTTACCCAGGGCAAAATTAAGCATAAAAACATATTGCCTCTGAGGCAGAACAAAATCGTTTCTTGCAGGGAACAATATTGCAGAGTCGCAGCATGAGCCTTGAATTCTATTTCAGGGAAGAGACTAGAAAAAGAAAAACACATTAATAATAAGCTTCTGTCCATGATCAAAGAAATCTAAATTTCCCAGCTTGGATATGTGCGCTGAAATAAGAAAGTTACACTTGCTGCTTGCTTTCTGGAAGCTAATCCACATCACATTTACGCTGTTAAATAATCTCTTATGCATTCATTTTACTTACAAGTAAATTAGTTATTAGGATTAAGCACTTGGGTTATTATTTCATCATCCTTTGCTAAATTGACATAGAGAAAATCCTGTTGTTTTCCTTTATGTTCCAAAGGAAAAAAAAATAATCGTTTTCAAATGTGTTCATGGTAGTGTTTGGGGCACTTACTAAGTTCGTGAAACAGAATAGGAATATATTTTTGTGATATCAAGCAATCCTTTCTTTATTTTTCCTTGAATATATGTGCCTGTGATACCTCTCCTCCCTATGAAGTCTGCTGTCACTATATTGCTAGAACTACCAGTCCAGGTAGAAATGATCTCCTGACTGAGCTGGTGAGTAAGTGACTGGCCTGTACCTCAGGCACCAGAGTGTGGTACCCTGGAATATTAAGTCATCCAACAACACAATCACTCCTAGGTCTGAAAACCAGCCTACTCTCCAATACCAATTTTTTTGCTTTGCTGCATATTTTATTATTGTGTCACCTGGATTGCTATGCTTTTTTGCTATACATTTTTTCTTTTCGTTCTTTCTTTTTTTTTTTTTTTTGCTAGTTCCTTAAAAGCATACTTTTTTTTGCTCTCAGATAATGAAAAAAAAAGCAAAGGAATAGCAATATTCAGAAAAAAACAGCTGAATACACATAATCATCATGAAACTTCACACTGTGATATATTATCTCTGATGCCATAGAGCAGATGTACTATATTTAGTTTTAATATAGTGAAAACAGCATGGATTCAAAATTCTGCATTCGTCAGTCCCCATAGGAAACGATTTCATTTTCCATAATTTTCTCTTTTCATACTTACCAAAGATGTATTCTTTCCTTTTAGTTCACATGCTCCTTTTTGCTATGATTTTCTATACATGCTGAAAAGTTTCTAATGATGATACCTTTCTGAAATACTGGATTCCTTCATTCTTTCTTCTTTCTTGATATTGCTCTCCTTCAAGCTTTAAAAGTGTTGTTTAGCCCCTACAAAATTATTTTACACAAATATTAGAGATAAGAAATATTTCTGGACAAAATTTTAATTTAGGCTTGTCCTGTGGAATTACCACTCTGATTGTTAAGTACCTTATTTTATTCTAGGGGACTTGATCAAAGATAAATGTGTTAGTCATCTTTCCGTCTCTAACACAAAGTATCTAAGGAAATCACCTACAAGGGAAAAATTTACTTTGGCTCATAGTTTCAGAGATTTCAGTCCATGGTTACTTGATGCCACCATTCATTGTTTCTGGACCTGAGAGGGGCTAGAATATCGTGGTGGGAAGCAAGTGTTGGGGCAAAGCTGCTCATGTCACCGTAGCCAGGAAGCAAAGACAGAGAAAGCAGGGAGAAAAGGGACAGTGACCAAATATAATCTTCAGAGGCATGTGCCCAATGACCTATTTCTTCCACCCAGGCCCCAATCTCCTAAGGTTTCCACAATCTCCTAATCAGTCTGATTTAAGCTAATTGGACTAATTTTAGGAAATTGTTTCTGATAATGAATAGTCAGTCACAAACATTATAAACCACTTAAAATCACACATGAATCTGTAGATGAAGTAATCCATTCATGGGAGCACAGCCTTTGTGATCCCATCACTTACCAAAGTTCTCAACTCTGAACACCTCAGTATTGTTCATCAAGATATGAGCTTTTGGCTGGCATTTCAGATCCTAACTACAACAATAAGTAATTTCTGCTAATTTCTAAAGGATTTCTATGCATTTGATGGCTAGTTGCTTCAGCACCATATTTGGAGAGAACATATCCTTTTACTTGTTCTTCCCAGATGTTTTGGTCAAAGCAATGCAAAATTGGACTAAAACAGAGTTAATTATTTAAAACTTGCCTCACATATAAGTCCTTTCAACCTGTCCCTGAAACCATCCCTATAAAAGATCCTACTTATATTTCCTATTACCTGCAATACAAAACATTTCCCCAGGCCAAAGGCATAGCTCAGTGGTACAGAGCTGCTTAGTATGTAGGAGTAACTGGATCCAGTGCCCAGCAACCACCCATCTCTGCCTTACCCAAAACATACTTTCAGGCTGTAGTAAAACTGTGCTTTCTATTAAAAGTGAAAACTCTCATTTGACTGTTTTAAAGTGTAAGAATATGATTAAATTACTCAAGTAGATTTATATTAATTATACTTTTTTTCAAAAATCTATAATATTATAATCATTCAAGACATATAATGCAAAGGCTAAAGAAATTTCGTCTCATATGGACGTTGTAAGGAAAAATGTCAGTCTGATTTAAGCTAATTGGACTAATTTTAGGAAATTGTTTCTGATAATGAATAGTCACAAACATTATAAACCACTTAAAATTACTACATGTGAATCAAAAGGCAAATGGCTGATTTTCATTTCCTACCATTGCCCTTAGATGCATTTCATATACTTTTGAAAAACTAATAGTTGTAAGTGGATCTTTATAACCTAGAGTATATACAAGGTAATACTTAATTCAAAAGGTATTGCATATGGTTAATGATATGTAAAAACAAAATTTGGTTCTTTTTAAGCAACAGCCAAACAAAATTAAAAATCCTTTCAGAAAATTCATTGAAAAATGCAAAGAAAAATAGATTTTCTTCATGCACTAGAAATGTTTGCAACTGGTTCTTATCAATTATGCATATAGATAGCTAATCACAGCCATTATATTTTGTAAATATCTGTAAATAGCATTATTGTACACTGATATTATAAGAACAGGAATAAGAGTATTGAATTGGGATTTAATGAACCCTCTCCTGTTGCTCCTATATTTAGTTTTAAACATAATTCCATTCTTCTGAGAAGTTGTATGCTTCTCAAAAATAATAGATACATGGGTTAAATCTTTATTCCTAGACATATATATTATTGGTGTCTATATTAATAATTGTATACCTCCTAAATTTAATTTTTAAAAAGATGTAATCTGATTCCATATGGGACTATTCAACTGTATGTAAATCAGTGAAAATGAATTTATCTTAGATTTTTTAACAAAAGAATGTCAAATTATTATTTTTATTTTAGTCTCATAATAAGTTATTTGTAAATATGAATTATTTCCCCAAACATTTTTTGGTAAATTCTTTATATCTATTTTATTCATGGCTTTAGTTAAATGAGCTTCATTCTCCTCCAATCAAGAGAAGGAAATTATGTGTTCTTTCTATAGTGGCCTTGGATTTTGTGTTGCTCAATACAACACTGTAGATGTAGTGTCCATTCCCAAACTAGTTCTCAAGAAGACCTGCACACTTCTCTCACTCTTACACTCTGCCCTCATTGTGAAGGTATGCTCACTCAAACCTTCTGAAAGGTGAGAAACTAGTAGAAAAAGGTGATCCAGCCCAATCAAGACCATTCCATATATGCAGCTGAATCTTCCAGAGACCAGAAAAATCATTCAGCCAAGCAGAACTAAAAGTAGCCCATTGATCTTTGATTTTTTGGCTATAACAAATTATTGTTCTTTTAAGCCCCTAAATATTGAGTGTAATGAAAAGTAAGCATATTTTGGATTTAGATAACTGAGACACATTGAAAATTGGTAGCTCCTGTGATTCATTCCAGCATTCTTTAGATATTCTAAATAAAATGCATTAATATTTTTTTACAACAATGACATGTTATAACTAATAAAATCTGAAGAGAAGGGGAGTATATGTAACATAAATTTCATCATACTTATAAGAATCCAAAATAATACATCAAATAATAATAGTATGAACTTATTTTCTACAGTAAGGAGTTTAATACTAGGACAGGAAAAAACAGAAATTGCCAAAAACTAAAGATGAGTGTCCTTAAGAAAGAGAAAGATAAAACAAGGAACTTTTTTTAGTCTAAGTTCCTGTTAATATTTTAATAGTTTTCAGTATCAAGCACCTATATTACATAAAAATAAAATTGCAGGGGAGAACTATCAGCCTAATTCATTAGTACAGGTTGAATACCCTTTTTCAGAAATGCTTCAAATAAGATGTATTTCAAATTTGGGAACATTTTTTTACTGTAGTTATTCATTCATATTAATTGCACAAATTAATTGTATTCACTATATTTTTATACAAGAAAATGGAATGTTTCACAAGTTTTCAGGGCATCTTTGTGAAAGGGACATGCTCATTATGTCTATATTATTCCAAATATAGTGTATGTGCTGCTGAAATGAGTGCAAGATTTTAGATTCTCTTTTTTTCTGAGGAGGGGATTTGGGAATATCTGTACACATACACTGTGATATATTGAGGATGGCATCCAAGTCTAAACCTGAAACTCACTAATGCTTCATGCACATCTTATACAATAGCTGAAAGGTAATTGTATGGATATACATATTTATTAAATGATGTGTTTGTAAATTAGGATCTGCATCATATATTGGATTATCGGAATTCCAGAAGTGTCACAAACTTCATCATCCACGAGGACAATTTGCATGGCTTATTTTCTTTTATTTTGGCATCACCATTGTTCCTGACTGTGAATTCATATGCTACCAGGGAACAGTAATTTTCTTATACTTATTTCTGTATAAGTGCTTAAAAGTAATATATATATATATATATATATATATATGAGAAATTATTAATACAGTGAAAAAATGCTATGGTAGTGTTTGAGTTAACTAAGCAGCACAGTAGCATCACCAGAATTCCTGTATCGACTATTAATCAAAAGAATCACAAAGAATGGCACCTTTCAGTCCACTTAAAATGCTTTTATTTACTTGTTTATTGACTAAAAGGCTACTACTGTACATTGCCTTTTACTATTGTTTTCAGAGAGAAGAAACTTCAGAAGCAGCTGACAGACTAGAGGTGTTTCCTGTAAAGACAAGGAGGCATTCTGCTGAATGGCTTTTCAAGTGTTTCCTCTGGAGTTCTCAGCCTCTTTAGCACTGGTTTTTTGACATTGAAGTCTCCCTTAGATTTTATACACTACAGATTTCCTGTTCTGTTTTGCATGCACACTGATCTAGCTTGATAAGCCCATCATGAACTTTGACCCTGTTGTCTATAGGCATGTTTTCTGCAGTGTAAACAATGCCACCCTCATGATCACTGTCATGGTCATCTTGATTCAGAACCATTTCGGCTATTTTGCCACTGGTCAATGAATGAGCATTAGGTGCCTAATTATTGGTATTAAATTTTTTTATATCTACTTTTTCCAGCTTACTGACAGGCATGGAGCTATATTTTTTGCATACAGAAGGAAGTCAGCCATCTATTTATTTATTTATTTATTTATTTATTTATTTATTTATTTATTTATTTATTTATTTTTGCTGCTATTGTTGTTGTTTTGTTTTGTTTTCCTCACTCAACATCCAGAATGTTTCACCACCTTATTCATCATTACTGAGCATTGTCACAGACCAGGCATCCACAATGTATCTTCGGTCACTGAAGTTTAGGTGATGTCAACAGCATACACAGCATCCTTTGTGCTAGGCTGAATTTGAGAATAATCTTCTGCCACGCTTTTGCTCACTGCTGCTAGTTAGGAAGTATTTTCATATTTGATCTTCATGATTCTAACGATACTGTGGTCACATAGCTGAATTAATGAAGTTACATTTAAGGGAAAGTACATGGCATAAACCTACGTTTTATTAGAATTTCACTTGGACCATTAGCAGAACGGTAGTTAAGGAATCACAAAATTTTGTCATCCTCATTCAGTTCAACTTTCATGCCATGAGCAGGAGCCACTCTACAAATTATATGTAAAACCAATCAGTTAAGTTGCATCTGGTGATCTGTCCCTTTGTTAGCATGATGATGATCTGGTAAGGACTCTGCTCCTTTAAAACAGCAGGGACTGAGCTTTTGCTTTTCACAGCAAGATGGCCCTTATGCATGCCTGGCTGCAAGAACACATCTCACACAGTGATTCTGTCTTTGGCATCCTTAATTCTTGGAGCGCCATCTCATGTGCTGTAGTTAATGTCTTTGGGGGAAAATCACACTCAAACAGTGATGTTACACCAGCATTTTGCAATTGTGCTCATGTCAGGTTTTTACCTGCAATGACCCTGGCAATCTCATCAGTGAGCTTCTCCACCTCTTCGTGATCACCTAAAGCTCTATCACCAAAAATCTTTAAATATTGATGCCATATCCTTTCTGAAAAATTTTGCAAAAAGCCTATGGAATTTTCACATTTCCCTTCAATGTTGAACTCATTGTGATATACCTTTATTTCTTTTATGTCCAGCATACCACTCAGAGCGTTCTTGGCAATGCTGATAGATACACATTTCAGTACATAGCTGAGGCCTTTGTTTATAATTCTGTGAAGTATTTCTTCTATTTTTTTTATCATTAACTTTTTTTCATTACTCTTAGCACATAACTTTGGTGGTATATCCTCCCCTTTCCTCATATTATATATGCGGTCATTGGAACCTACCTAAGCTTTTGGAAGATGTTTCACATTTACACCACTGTCCAGCAGTTCTGAAATGGCTTGATTTTCTGTACTACTAATAAACATACATGCTTCTCTTTTTTATCACTATGGGGATATTTACAGATATTTTTGATATTTTCAACAGTATCTTTACAACACAGTTTAAAAATAAACAACCCACTGAGTAATGAATGTTGATCTTAGCTCCACATGAGGCATCACTGAAAAACTTCTGTAGGTATTTGCCTGCACACCTCTCATGTTATTACCTTTGGTGGGAGAGCTAGCATGGGAGAATCTGGGCATGTGCAGAAAAAAATATATATCATAGCTTACAGGTAGTGAGAGTGTCTTTCTTTCTTTCAGGGATGCTTAGTAAACTGTGTTGGGAACATGCATTTTGATAATCACCCATTATATAAGGTTAGGTATGAAAATTTTCCACTATTGGCAGAAAGTAGGTACTCAAGAAGTTTCAAATTTTGAAATGTTTCTAAATATGCTTTTATTTAAATATTAAAATGTGTTAGAATGATATGTAAAGATAGATACAGATACATATGATCAAATGGGAAAATCAGTTTTTAAACTGATTTTTATATAATGTTCAAGTTTCATTAAAAATTGCACATAGATTTAAAGTATGGCCAGTTATACAGCACAAATGGCCTGAAAGATTGAAAAAAATCAACAATTATTAGTTATTCCCATAAAAATAATTTTCTAAATATTCTACTTAAAATTATAACAAAAGCAAGTAACACTTTATGTAAAGTTTGAATAACTAAGAACTAAATAATCTCTTTTTCTTAATTTTTGTTTTTGGTACTAGAGTTTTAACCCAGGGGCATTTAAAATTGAGCCATATCCTCAGTCCTTTTTAAAATCATTAATTTTGTTTTTAGATAGGGTCTTACAGAGTCTTACCAAGTTGCTGAGGCTGATCTCCAACTTATGATACTCTTGTCTCAGTGTCCTGAGTCACAGGGATTACAGACAAGCACCACAATATCCTCTTTTCCTTAAATTTTGATAACTTGAAAAGCTTCTTTTCATGATCCCTGAATTTTCAGGCCATTGTAACCTTTATTTTCAAAACGCTTTTAATCTTATATAGTATAGCTGTAACAAGATGAAGTAAAAATTCTGAGGAAAACGTGATCACCATTCCATACTGTGTTCTAAACTCAAAAGATATTCCCAAGAGCTGGAGAAAGATTATTTAGCATCTGGTGGTTTATTCTGCTACACTATAATGTTTTATCAGTAAAATTCTTAAACCCATTTGAAATATCTCTCTCAAAATCCATAGACAGGCTCAAAATGTGTGATGATTATATTTTTCATAATATTAGAAACACATTTCAAGCACAACCTCAAACATATTCACATATCCATTTTCCTGTTATAGAAAGAAAATATTCAACTTCTGATATCATCCATAAGTTTGATTCATTTAAAAATGTTGTTTCTTTACACCACTTTTCAATTTCTGATATATCCCTATACACTTATTTATTATTAGTTGTTTCTCCCACTAAAATAGTGAATGAAAGCAATGTTTTGATTTTTAAATCTTTTATTCATTGCAAGCTCTTCATTTTGGTAATACATGACTAACAATTGTTAGTGCCTCAATAAGAACTGTTGAAAGAATAAAGTATTACAATTCAATTTAGTTAACTAAAAAACAGACCTTCTTGTAAGTGCTGGATTATCCCTGGCCCCTACTCTTAAGGATTTAAAAAATCAGTACAGAAAGTAGGGGTGATTTATAAATTGAAATTGTGTTCCTTGCTCTGTTGGAGAAATATGTAGACAAAAGGACTTTTGAAGGAAATAATTCATTTTGAGAAGAAGGTAATGCAGTTCAATTTTTGAGATTGGTCTTAATACACCCATCACGTGTGCAGAAGTTCATTTCATATTAATATGCACACATTTGAAAATAGACACTATTGAGATTCTGTGAATAATAGTATGTCTTTGTCAAATTTGTGCTTTAATTAAATTCTATTTGCAATAGAAGTGATGATATGGTCTTTAAACTCAGGAGATGATCAACTGGGATGCCAGTCTGAAAATAGTTTCTGTAGTTTCATTGAGAAATAATAAGAACTGGAAATAGAACAGTTAAAATAAAAATAGGGATAAATAAATAACTTAAAGGTGATATTGAAAGAAATTATAGATTAATTTGATGTGTTTGGTAAAAAAAGACAGAAGACTTAAAATTGCATCCAGAGTTCAAGACATCTGTGTACGTGTTGATACTGTAAATTTAGATATGAAATCTAGGAGAAGCAAGTCTAAGCATACTGAGTCAAATCTTTCTGTGCATATCTCTGAAAATATGTATAGTTACCTCTTTCTAAAATCTCCAATGAAAACCTTTATTTTCCTTTAAACTTTTAATTTGTATTTATTTTTATTTCCTTTTCCAATAATATCCAAATAGTTGATTCTATTTATTCTGATTCTATTAATTTTCCTAGGCAAACAAGATGCTCCATCTTTTACATAGTCTCCAACTATCAATTAACTCATTGGTTAGATTGCATATGCCGTCAACAAATAATTCCTGATGAGGAATCACATGAAAGAAACATTGCTGAATTCTAAGGACAAATACTTTGATAAGGCAAAGATGACTCAGTCTTCCAGAACAGCTCATGACCTCTTCAAAGAACTAAATGAGTAAATTTGTCTTTATAATGGTCTATACAACTAGCAGTAGTTAAGTGTGGATTGTGAGTTC